TGCAATGAAAATATGACATATACATCCCAAATCAAAGTTATAATGAGTTAAAAGTACCCCTACCTCAAGATTAAAGGCAAAAGATAAATACCCAACTCTAAACTTCAAAACATGAGAAAACAATTGCTAGAACTTTCAATCTGGACTTGTTCTTCAACCCCCTTTGAACATCTACTATGGACATTAGTATAAATCAAAAGGAATCAAGTGTTTAGGGGGTACTGTCCCGAAAAGACCGCTCAAGTGAACTTTTTACCGCTCGAGTGGTAAATGCATGGTTCTAGAAGTTTCGCAAAGCTACACTGAAAATATTGGTAACCTCATTTCTATGCTCGAGCGACCACTTCACCACTCGAGTGGTCTCGCCTACAAACAAGCATGATACTAGAAGCTCTGCATCTCTGCTCCAACGACTGATTGACCGCTCGAGCGGTCTCCCAGGACAGATTGTTACATGTCGATTGCTAATTGCATGGGTTTAAGGCAATAATAGTGCATTATCTCTCTAAAAAGGATGTCGAGGGGGAATTTGATTCCACTTTCAATGATTGATACTACGGGAAAGGGCATGTAATTCTCCCTAGGCATTATGGAATCGTTATCACCAGTTAATCTAATTTGGATCTCGGCTGGTACGTTAATTTCCTAACAGAAGTGCTCTAGTTTGCTAGGGGAGTCTACTCTCTACTTGAACATTCCCATTATCTCGGCTAAATATTGGGGTACTTAGGGGTTTTGATTTAGGCCCTAAAGTGTTTTGGGTTGAAGGTTTTGGTAATCTTATGGAGATTCTGGAATGTAAATGTTTCAGTTTTCCTACCGTGTTAACAAATCCCAATCCTAGATATAAGATTGTGCAAGAATAGTAGGAAATATGCAAGAATGTGATCTAGAAATAGAAGAGTAGCAGAGAGAGCAGATTTAGAATCAAGAACAAATGCATGAAGAACAAGTGCTAAGCATGGAAGGTACAAAATAAATTGAAAATGCAGATATCATAACACGGGGCGATGTTCCAGAAATTGAAGTTCATAATAGAAATCAGAATTGATTAATGAGTCTAAGTACAGAAACTTGAAAGACATGCTCAAGAACATGAGGAATAAGAAAAAAAAAGCATAAAAAATGAATATCGAAGATGAAGAGCTTTGGAACTTTCAAGTCCTGAATGCCGAAACGGATGTCAGAATCGCAATCACTATAATAAAACGCTTCAAACGATCGGAGCAAAACAAAAATTAGGTCGCTGGAGAGGATGAACAAGGACTATTGCAGAGACCTTTGAAGATTTGAAAATAGAGGTTTAGAGAGAGAGAATATAGAGAAGGTTGTGAATACATAAGTGAAGAGACGGAGAGAGAGGGAAAAAATTTTGATAAAAAATCGAAAGGGTAGCAAGAGTTGTAATTTCAAACCCTTAGGCGACGTGCCTGGTTGATGTCAGGTGATGTTAGGCGGCGTGGTACAAAGGTGAAGTGACATGTCTGAGGTGTGACAAGTATGACCTAATGAAGGAGTGATACGTGACGGTTGAGGTAGTTATTTCGTGACAGCTCACACGCATCTTAGGTTCTTGATATTCTTGAACTGGTGGAGTAACGATCCCGGCTAGTAGTGCAATCTCGGATGAGATATTGATTCTTCGTTCCTGATGAATAGACATTTGAGTCCTTGTTTTCTTGAAGCCGACGAGTCATGATCTCAGTCGGAGGAGTTTCTCTAGCATGTTGTTTAGCCGACATGTTAAAAGATCAGACAATATAATTTCATCACCTCAAGTTGCCGAGATGATAAAACATAGGGGGCAGTTATAGGGACATATTTTTAGGGTCACACCATGTGGCTGAGGTGTTTGCTGAGGTGCTACGTGGGCGAGTCGTGATGCCGAGATTATTGTGATATTGCCGAGATGTGGTGCATCAATATCGGAATCTGAGATATTTGGATAAAGGACAAGAGTCCTAGATAAGTTGAGACGCTTAATTCGGATAGATATGAGGCTCTATTGAGATCATTTTTATTTGATTGAAAGTTCGAGATAAATGCTATGCTTGAGTCCTATGATATGAGACTTCTAAGGGACGAGGACACTGTTGACTATAAAAGTAAGGCACCCCCGTGGGTCTAAGGTATGCTTTTTCTTGTACACTGTTATTTGAGTTATATCTTTTTTAGATAAGTGACTGACTTGATCGTTAAAGTACTCCCGGGTGGATGAGCTACCGCGGTATTCTTCTCTTCTTGTGTGTAGGTGTTTAGTTTAATCTATTTTGTCACTTGCTCGCCAACTAAATTCCCTATTTGATTGTGAGGTTAGAAATCAATACCCACAGTATTAACACCCTGCAATTTACAAATCTTCATAAACTTAACCAAATTCTAACCTAACTGAAGAAACAAAAGAGTATGATCAAATTATTTTACTTGTTTATATTCATAACTAATCCTCAAATTGAGTCATTAATTTAATATCTTATCTTAATCGACCTTATAGGCTTAGCATTATGAAGTCAACTTGTCACCTAAAACTGCAAAGCTTGAAATTTCCACACCATTGTGGGCCATAAAAGAATTACACTAGATACATAGGAGTTGTATGAAATAAGAAGAAGATAGTGGGAGGGGTGAAAAGGCAAATTAGAAGAAAAGAAAATGGAGGAAGGTTAGAAAGAAAGAAAGGGAGCACCGCAGATTCCGTGGTTCCAGCCTTGCACTCCAATCATAGCCACCTCCTCTCCTAGTAGAGAGACACAAGCAAGAGAGAGAATCTTTGAGGCAAAGTAAAATGAACTAGTATACTAGCACAGAAGGAACCATTTGGATCATATCTTAGTAAATATAAATAATTTGTTTTCAATACCAATTTCTTTATTAATTCTCATCTCTTATGTTTTATGAATAATTATGTTTTACATGACATCATCATCAATTATTAAAAATTAGATGACTTTTGATCTTCTGAATATCAGTAATGAAATGAAAATCTCTGTTGCATTTTACAATATTGAAACACCACATCAAAATCTAAATCTAAGGATCTATAATTACAAAATCATGATAAGTTTTCTAAAGTTCCTTACCATTTTTCAATGAAATTACAAAATCATGATAAGTTTTCTAAAGTTCCTTACCATTTTTCAATGAATTTTAAATATAGTCTATATAGATTTTTCACATCCATTGATTATTCCATTCATGAAATGGATAATACCTATGATTTTCATATAAAATTATGTATATTATGTTGTTTTTCATTTCAAGTTAAAACATTTACAATTGTGGTTCATAATTTCAAAAATATCATCACCTCATCATCCTGAATTTTTATTTTTATTTTTATTTTTTATAAAAAATTTACTTGTGGATCATTTTTTATATATAAAAAATAATAATAATAAAAGTAAATAAAACTATAAATAGGATTGAATAGATGCTCAATTTCTACTACTAATCCATTGGATAAACTATTTAGTCATTGGAACAAAATAATTTAGGGTGCAAATGGGATTGCATTTTCTCTATAAAAATGGTGCATGCTCTTAGTGCAACCAAGCAATTATAGTCTTCTTTTAGTTTTGCATTATTGTCCATGTGGGGACATATTTTCTGAATACCAACACGTGGCATGGTGACGCCGACGTGTCAGCCGAGGTGCCACGTGCCCTGGTAGTTAAGCCGAGGTAATCTCGGATAAGCCGAGGTCATCTCCGAAGATGTCGGAATCCGAAGATAAGGGACAAGAGTCCTGAAACAAAGAGGGGACTTAATTAAGATAAGGATAAACCTCTTAGGGAGTTTATCTCTATCTCCTAAAGAGTCCAGAGTAAGTACTAAGATTGGGGTACACAGAAGTCATATTTCTAGTTGGACTTGGATTAAGTATATTATAAAAGAGAGGCACCCCCGTGGGTCTAAGGTATGTAATTCATACCTTGAGTATTCAGTTTAATACTTGATTATCCTTGAGAAACATACTGACTTGATCGTCGGAGTGCCCCCGGGTGGAAGAACCACCGCCGGAGCTTTTCCTTTCTGTTACAGGTTGTTGGAGCCATCTATTCTGCCGGTGCTTTGCTGCTGATCACTAAACGGGCAGTGTGGTCAGATTTTTACCCACACAGTCCATATATATATATCAGTAAATTTAGGTATTCAGAAAAGGATATTCAAGATTTTATTTAGAAAAATAATATGTAATCTGGAAAAAAAAAATGTATTTTTTTCTCTATTAGTGCAGTTTTTCACTCATGTTTACTCTCAACTAAAAAGATTGATTATCTGTTTCCTATCAAGATCTTTATATGTGTTTCTCCTAGGTTTATGGGTATATGTTGTTAGACTCTATTAATAGTTAATTATCCAATTTAATGTAATTGTTTAGATATTTGTAAATATAAACATTCTCTTATTGATTATAAAAAAATAAAATAAAATAAACTAGTAAAATTCTAAGTAATTTTTTGCACATGGAATTTTCTGGACTCTTATTTCAATTCTTTTTTAACTATTATTTATGTTTTGAAATTGTCATACAACTAAATGATTGAAAGTACATTGAGATAAACAGATACAAGAATTTAGAAACGAAAAATTCTTAGTTGCCGTTCTACTGGAAAATGCTAACTATAGTGGTGAATAACCTTATCGTATACATATACCGTATGCAAAAATATGTGAAAAGTATATGAATATATATATATATATATATATCAAACATGTATTGGTGATTTTTATCTTTTTAACATTATTTGTATATTAATCAATGGCCAATAGGGTGTGGGTTAGTAAAACTCTTTTTTAAATCAATTCTTTATAATTTAATTGTATAATAAAACACAACCTTCTTATATAAGATCAATTCACAAATTTAATAAATTTTATTTCAATTGAGAGAGTTACACAATTTTGTAGACTTTGGAATTATTGTTTCTAAATACTAGAATTAGTGTGTAGTGGTGGGTATGGGTTGGCAAAGGCCAAAGTATGTGAGGAGAGAGAGAGAGAGAGGGGGGGATAGTGTGAAAGCGGACTTTACGTCCAACCAACCTCACCTCCTCCTCCCAACTGTTTTAACTCCTCCCCTCCCCTTATTTAGCACATCCTCTGTTTTTACAATGTTCTGTTTTTGTATCTCTCTCTCTCTAAACACCTTTCACTTTTCTCTCTAAATTTACACCCATTCATTGTTCATATATAGCTATATCCAACCATAGCTTCGAAGAATGGCTACGCATACTAATTCCCAGTTTACTCTGTTCCAAGGTATCATCTTTTGACTCCTTGGAACAGAGTAAACCTCTCTCCTCCTTGGCCCCCTCTCTCTCTCCATATATATATACACACACATAAATATATACGTAAATACATAAGGTCATCCCCCCAAACATATACGCTTCCACTCACCACCTCTCTCCTCCCTCCTCTCTTCTCTCTCCTGCCCTCCTCTCTCTCTCTCTCTCTACTCTGCATTTGGTGGGGGTGGTGTGGTACTACAAGCTCTTAAGATGGAAGTTTCAGAGGAATTGAATGGTGGTCCTAAAGACCCCACAACCCATATCGTGAAAGGCAAGCGAACAAAACGACAGAGGCCTCAGTCTCCGATTCCATTCTCAATCGCCACTCATTCTTCCAGCGGAGACGGCGGAGGAGACAATACTAATTATGTTGCCACCGCCACTGCCACCGCCACTTCAGTTGAATTCATCGAAAGCGCTACCGAGGAAGAGGAGGACATGGCGAATTGCCTGATTCTTCTAGCTCAGGGCCGTTCTAGAGACCCATCATCAAAACCAATCGATCAGGATCACGACCACGACCACGAACACGATCAAGAAAACATGGGATTCAAATTCACGAGTAAGAGATTTATCGAAGCACCATCGACAGGTAATGGCAAGGTTGGAATGTATGTGTACCAATGCAAGACATGTAATCGAACATTTCCTTCGTTCCAAGCTTTGGGAGGGCATAGAGCAAGTCACAAAAAGCCCAAACCACCGTCCACGGCGGAGGAGAAGAAGCCGATCACCGCCACCGCCACCATGGCAGCATTGTATTCCGATGAAGAAGAAGAACAATTCAAGTCCTCTTCCCTTTCTCTTCAATTGAGCAATAACAGGTCTTTCTATGGCAATCCAAAGCCTTTACCAAAAGTCCACGAGTGCTCCGTCTGTGGGGCCGAGTTCACCTCCGGACAGGCCTTGGGAGGCCACATGAGGCGCCACCGCGCTCCGGTTGGTGCCAACACAATCTTGTCACTGAGTCCCTTGAGATGCGAGCCAGACGATCACGAAATGAAAAAACCCAAAATTATGTTGTCATTGGATCTCGATCTCAATCTTCCGGCCCCAGATGATGAATCAAAATTTGCATTTGCTTTCACTTCTAAAAAACAACAGCAACAACAGCAGCAGCAGCAACAACAACAACCACAGAAGCAGCAGCAGCAGCAGCAACAACAGCCTCTTGTGTTGTCCGCCACGCCGGCTTTGGTGGATTGTCACTACTAAGGGAGGTCCAATTTTTTTTATTTTCCATTTTTTTTAGCTTCTTATACCATGAAATTTACATCAATGTGAAATACTCGTCATTCTTTTTTCTTTTATTGTTATCATTATTCAAAATTGTGGATTCTTTGGATTCTTTTTGATGAATATGAGAATTGGACATTAAAAATTCTTTGAAATTCTTTGTTATGAAATATGGGTTTGTGAGATAATTGATTTATAGAAAGTGAATGAAGATAGAGCATTCTTTGATCTTACTTTCGTTTTTATTGGGTTTTTATTTTTATTTTTATTATTGTAAGGAATGTGAAGTGTACTTGAAACAGAGAAAGAGTGAGAGGTTGGTTTGGAATTGTCACCACCAAAACCAAAAGTCTTTGAAGTTTAGGTTTCATTGTTTCATTTACAAGGAAGTTTCTGTGTCTCTCTCCTTAGCTTCTCTGTCATGTAAGTGATGACAAAAATAAAAGAGTGGAATGCCCGTAAGTAACTGCACTTCTCACGCAATATTGTATTAAAACATCATTAATGTTTGGACTAAAAAGAGTGAGACTTCTCTCCAGTTTGATTGGGTGTTGTTGGTGTGCGATGTGTCTTGTATCATATCTATGTTAATAATTCAATTATCTCAATGTATTAATCTTATTGAATATATTATTTTTATAAAAAAAAAAATTGGCGTTAATCAAATATTAATAAGAATGCTGGGTCACTGCTGTGACTCTCGCTGCTGTTTTTCTTGCTGTGGTCCATACAATGCCATTTTTCCTACTTTTTTTCTCTCTTTCCTTTTTTTTTTTTTCTCTTTTTCTTAAAAAAAAATGTCTTTGATTTTGCATTTAGCAAAACAAGTTTGTTTTTTTAAGGTTATTTTAATTTATGGATGTTATGATTGGTTTAATTTTTATTTTTTATTTCTTATGTAATCTTATTCAATTGAATAACATATAAGTAAAATAAAATTTCACACTTAGGGTTGGTTTGGGATGACCTAAATAAGTATACTTTTTGACTTTTTATGAAATATGGGTTGGGTATGGGTTGGGTTTGAAGTGATATGTTAGAGAGGTGATGTAACTTAAATAAGATGATGTGACTTAAATAGAATAGTGACTTTTTGACTTTTTTAGATCATGCCAAATAAGGCCCTAATATGATATTTTTGGTTTTCAATTGAAGCAATGTAATATGTTTATCTATTATTTTTTAGTCAATCTACTAAACCAAAATAAAAATGGGTACACAAACTCAACTTAACATTGAAGAAAATATGTGGACATCTTCTAACATTTCAATATATTACAAACAACCAGTAACATTTAGTTAAGAGCGATCGTCTCTATAGTTTGAGACTTCTGTCACTTGGTTCCTGATCTTTCAATTGTTATTTGATCATAAATTTTGAATCTCGTTCTAAATAAAGACAATTGAAGACATTGTTACTCAATTTCAAAAGCAAAGTCGTCATACAACATGTTTTGTATTGATTAACTTATATGTAATTTGAAATATTAAGAAACTAAAAATTAAATTGGTGAAAAAATAATTAAAAAACACATAATTTTTATATAATTTTATCTTTTGAGAGGGTAGAATAATTTTTAAAAAATATTTTTTGGTATTTATTTTTGTTAAGTTAGTTTTTATTTTTTCAAAAGTGAAACATAGCAATAATTTTGATATAATTATTAAACTAATCTATTAAATCAAAAAATCCAAAATTAAAAATATTTCGTATATTAAACATATCGATTATACATTAAAAGCCTACTAAATATCCATTACATAATAACCATCCAAAAATATCTGTTAACAACAAATACAACCATCTATTATACGATAATCATCTAGAAATATCAACAAAACAACCACCCATTACATGATCATTATCCAAATACATACTAAAAATTAATTTGGTAAAAAAAATAAAATATTAAAAATGTAAAATATTTATCGTTTTTATATAATTTTATCTTTGGTGAGTAAAAATAAATTTTAAAAATTTAAAAATAATTTTTTTGACATTTATTTTTGTCAAACTAGTTTATATTTTATCAAATTGACGACTTTACCTTTGAAATAAAGTAATGATGTCTTCAATTGTCTATATTTGGAACAAGATTCAAAATTCAAGGTCAAATATAACACAATTAAAAAATCATGGACCAAAATGACCCGAGACTCAAACTGCAGGAACTGTTATTGTAATTTGTCTTGTAGTTAAATCATAGACATTCATGTTATTTAGTAAGAATACACAAACACTCTTTTAACATTTTGCGAAAAGAATCATATGCATATTCTTAACTTAAATAAATATGTGTCAATATTAATTAAATTATTTATGTGTATTTCTATATATACATACATACAAAATTATGGATAAATTACAAATTACAACTCCAAGAATTTATTTAAAATATAAATTTTTCTCTCACATTTAAAAAATTACATCCCATGCCCTATGGTTTTTAATTATATAACAAATGGTCCACTTAGTATTTGTAATTTTCAAAACGTGAGATTTTTTTTTTTTGACAAACCTCAAAAGGTGCATTTGTAATTCACCCTAAAATTATTTTAAAATATACTGTCATGTTTATAATGTGAAATAATAATTTTAGTTATATTATACTATAAAAATATAACTTAAATTAATAATTTTTAATTTAAATTAATTTATTTATGTGAACACATCTATATAAACATTATTTTGGGTTTATTTCAATATATTAATAAATAAAAATATTATATTATTTCAAATAACTTGCTCCGGCAAACAGCACCATGAGAGAAGGATTTGAAAAAAAAAAATTAAAAAAATAAATAAAGAAGAAGATAAAACGACACGTATGGGCCACAACAAGGAACAACAGCATGAGTCACGCAGCGATGAGTCACGCAGCGATGGCCCAATCTTATCAATAGCTACTTGATGCGAAGATATTTGTGTAAACAATAATATAATTTAAAAAAATTAATCCAATCAAGTGATTATAAATGTCAATCAACTTAATTGTTTATAAAAATAATGTACTCCACATGCCCTACACATAAATCGAATTATATCATTGAGATAGATTCGAAATAAAGCCCATACAAACTCGAACGTTAAAAAAATTATATATAAGATTTTTATCGAAGTGTACTTTTCTAATAAATATTGAGTAGACTTATTTTGTTTCTTATCCACTTTTCACCCATCTCTTTATTATTATTATTATTATTATCTCATAATTGATTATAAAAGGATTCAACTTACCTTCAGTAAGGATTGGCAATGGGTCGGGACAGGGTCGGGGATCACACTCTCGTTCCCGATCCCCAATGGTGGAAATTCTCCCGTCACCGACCTCGAAAATTCCTCGAATTTGAGGAACAACAACAATAGATTTAACATATATAATATCAATAGATTTAACAACAACAGATTTAACATATATGTTCAGCTCCAGATTTGAGGATCATCAATAACAACACACCCATATACCAGATTTAACATATATATTAAGTAGATCTAACAGATATGAGCTCAAATGTAAAAAATAAAGAGAGAGAGAGAGAGAGAGAGAGAGAGAGAGAGAGAGAGTAGAAAATGGTGAAATCCTAGCATATATATTCGACAGATTCAACAGTAGAAATAGTGAAGCCCTAGCATACACCAGATTCAACAGATCTAACATATATATTTGAAACCTAGCCTTAGGTAGAAATGGCGACAGATCTGAAGGGAGATTCCTCAACTCGAATCTTGGCATTAGTGACCAAAACTTCTAGATCTGAAGAACAAAAGCAAAAAAACAAAGAAAGAGAGAGAGAGAGAGTACCCTTTGAAAATTGGCAGTGAGAGAGTAAGAACAATAGTCGTAAGAGAGGCGATCCGCCGTAAGAGATGATGTCGAGCCAGTGAAGGAGTTTGGAGAAGGGAGACGCCAGAGATGAGAGAGGAGCGACCGAGTGACAGGAGCAGCAGCCTTGTGATGTGAGCAGAGAGAGAGTGTGATGTGTATGTGTCTCAATGTCTCTATGTGAACCCCTAACCCTAAAATGAGAAAAAGAAAAAGAGAAAAAACACACACACACACACACACATATATATATATAGACAGAGGTACAATAGTAATTTCATATTGGCGAGCCAGTGAAGGAGTTTGGAGAAGGGAGACGCCAGAGATGAGAGAGGAGCGACCGAGTGACAGGAGCAGCAGCCTTGTGATGTGAGCAGAGAGAGAGTGTGATGTGTATGTGTCTCAATGTCTCTATGTGAACCCCTAACCCTAAAATGAGAAAAAGAAAGAGAGAAAACACACACACACACACACACACACATATATATATATATATAGACAGAGGTACAATAGTAATTTCATATTAGGGGGAATCGGGTATGAGGCCGGGGCAGGGGACGGGCCGGGTTCAGGGCTGTGGAACGTATCACCATCTCTGGGCTGAAAATGGTTGGGGATTCATTTTCGAATACCGTCCACAGCTCGTCGGGGGTATGTTTTGGGTAAAAACCGTTCTAATCAGGGTCGAGGGCTCGGGTCCCCGTCGGGTCGGTTTCAAATTGTCTTCCCTACCTTCAGTCTTCAAAAGAGGACTAAATCACTACTAAAAATTAGAAATTTTGTAACGGTCTTAAATGTCGCAAAAGGTTCGCATATCATCGCAAAAGACTTTTTGTTGCGACGGAATAGCGATGGGAAATGGGGGGTGGCGGAAGGGGGGCGTGACAAAAAGTTTTTTTGACGGTTACAAGCCGTCGCTTTCTTGTAGCAACGGATAATCAATGATTTTTGCGACGGTTTAACTTAACACAAAAAAAAGGAGAAAAAACTTCACTTTTAATGACGACGTTGATAGACGCCGCCAAAAACTTTTTTACCAACGGTATTTGAGCGAAAAGTATTATTAGCGACGGTCCAAAATGTAGCCAAAAAAGTAGAATTCAATTAATACCGTATTTGCGACAGTTTAAACTGTCGCTAAGGATTTGAATTAATATGTATATGCGACAGGTTAACCTGTTGCTAATAAAATGTAAGGAAATGATAACTACATTAGCGACGGTTTATTATTGTCGTAATAAAATTATTTTCATAAAATCAATCATTAGCGACGGTTTATTATTGTCGTAATAAAATTATTTTCATAAAATCAATATATATTTTCTTAATTT